TCCCAAGAAACGTGGCCTGCACCCGTGGAGCTGGTCGCCTTGTGGGGAGCCCAAGCCCTGCTCCGGCGAGCCCCTTCCCACGCGGAGCAGCCCAAGGAAGCTGTCAGAGCGGGGTGAGATGGAGTGGAAACGTGGCCGGGAGGAGTGTGAGTCAGGGCTGCGTTTACAAGACCTTTTGCAAACATTTCACACGCAGGAGGATTTACTGTTTCTTGACTTGGCAAGAACACGGGGGGCTAAGTCCAACAGTGGAAGGTGGCGCGATCCGCTGGCACGGGGAGGGGACAAGGTGCCGTATTTCCAGGCAGAGACGGGATTCAGGTGCCTCAGTCCCATCTCCTTTCAGCAGGTGGCTGAAGGAATCCAAGAGCAGGATTGACACCGGGGCAGAAGCAGCTCAAGTCTACGCTAAGGACGAGTAACTGTGGCCTGGTGAAATACAGCTCTGGAAACACAGGTGTGAATCTCCAGGAGGTAGATTTAGACTGGATATAAGGAAAAAAATCTTTATGCTGAGGGTGGTGAGATGCTGGCCCAGGTTGCCCAGAGAGGTGGTGGCTTACCCATTCCCGGACACATTCCAGGCCAGGACGGAGGGGGCTCTGAGCAACCTGATCCGGTTGGAGATGCCCCTGCTCATGGCAGGGATGAGCTTTAAAGGTCCCTTCCAAGCCAAACAGTTCTATGATTCTATGTGTGAGAACGCGGTTACAGTGACAAGGCTTGAAAAACAAAATCCCTGAACTTACAAACAGCCAAACTTAAAAAGTTCTGCACCAGAAATTTTCTGGACTTTGTCAATTGCAGCGATCACCGAGCCGTTACCGAAACGCCGAACTCCAACCCACCAGCCTGACTCCGTCATAAGCCTGGCCCATTACCTCCATTAAAGCTGATAAATGGTTGGCAGACGTTCAGTGGCTGTTGACAAACGGGTCCATCACTCTGACACTTTCCTTTGGGCATCTGCCCTGGTAAACAAGATTTTGCTTCGCTGCCTGGATTCACTTAAAGGACTTTAAGCACATTAGTAAATAATTTATACTTCCTTTAAAAACAGGAAACGAAATAAGGATGCTCAGTGTGCTATTTAGCTGGAAATTGTTCTGCTCTTTACTATTTAATGAACTGACTGGCTGCTAACAGAGGTCATTCCAGCGGCTCACACCCCGGCCCTGTGTCTCTCTGCAAGGTTTGTAAATTGAAACTTTAATGGGCGTTTCGAGGGGAGCGGTTAGCCCTGGCAGTATCACTTGAAACCCATCAGCTGAAGTAAGTGATTCTTCATCAGCTTTCAAGCTCCAGGAAATAAGCAGAGGGCAGGAGGCGGCAGTTTTCCCCCACATACTGCATTTTACCATGATTTATGGGTGCATCTGTATCAGACACGCTGAGATAAAGCGGTCGTCAAGGCCGTTACCTGCTCTTCCCTGCACTCCCCGAAAAGGCAGCTCATGGTTTAACTGCTCGGTGTGGTTACGTGGCACAGGAGGATGTGGGGAGCTCAGGGCTCTGTCGAGACGGACGTGGGTGTGCATACATGGAGTGTACACCCCGTACGGGGAGAAAGCAGGGAAAAAGGGGTTGCTTTTTCTCCTCTGGCCTGTAAGCCAACAACCCCACACAGCGCTCCAGGCGTGGGGCAGAGGGGCTGGAAAGCTGCCCAGCGGAAAAGGACCTGGGGGGGTTGGTCGCCAGACGGCTGGATAGGAGCCAGCAGGGTGCCCAGGTGGCCAAGAGGGCCAGCGGCATCCTGGCTTGTCTCAGGAGTGGTGTGGCCAGCAGGAGCAGGGCAGGGACCGTGCCCCTGTGCTGGGCACTGGGGGGGGCCGCCCCCCAAATGCTGGGGTCAGGGTTGGGCCCCTCCCTCCCCGAAGGACCTGGGGGGGCTGGAG